GGTTGGTGGTAGGGGAAGAGGTGGTGAGACCCTCGGACTCCATCAAAATTGGGGGCGATACTGAGCACTGTCACCTGTACGGTGCTCCAGGCTGTTTCCAACGACAAGCGCAGTCTAGCACCCCTTGAAGCGATGAATTTCGTAGGCTTGTTCTGATGTTACTGTAATGCAAGTGAGATAAGTCACAACAACATGACTCCCGGCTGAAGTAATATTTTACTAAAATTATAAACGGTAATACCCAAAAACTTAACAGAATATTTCTGAATAAAACTATAAAACATTTTTATCATTTTCTTTTGAATTTAATGAATTCTTTTTCTGTTTCTTTTAATTCAGGATTCGAAATCAATAGTTATTAAATTTAAGCGACAGGTAAAGTTTCCTTGTTATTCTAGACAACTCTAGATAAAAAAATTAATTCTTTATGAGGAGAAAATTTTATAATACGTATGTTCTACGCAAATGATTCTTTCCCTTTCAAAAATCCAAAGAGATATTTATAAATTTTTAATGCGCTGAAATCTAGCGACAATTTATGTATGAGAAAGTGGACAACTTTTTTTAGAATTAAATCTAATTCATAGTTACTTCAGTGTAATATTTGATTCAGTATAAAATTCAATTTCAAATGGCAGTATCATTTTGAGACGCGCACTATATGCATAAAGGCAGCAATTTTTACTGTCTCAAAACTCAAAAAGAAAATTTATTAAATTGAAAATTCTATAATAATTCTATTTTTAAGAATTTTAACGATTCTTTGTTTTCAGCATTCATACCAAAATTGACTTCATATAAATTACTAAATAATTTGTGTTCTTAAACTTCAATATACTGATGTTTTCCGCAAATAATTTTGTCATTACGAAATAATATTTCAATTAGAAAATAAAAACAAAATTAATAATCAATTAGAATTATTCTGTATCAGCTTTATTAGAATTTTTAGCTTGCTACAAAAAAATCAGAACTGCTTTATTATTTTGAGATCCATTTTACATGCATAAATACACAATTTATATCTGGGGAAAAAAGGAAAAGCATGAAGATTTGAAAAACAAATTGAGAAGCAAAGTGAACTTGTAAAGCAGTCAAGAGAAGCACATAGCAAAAATTATTGACGAAACACGAAATAGTATAATAATTTGTCAACAGATGGCAGCACCAAAGTTTATGGATTTTCAAATGATGTGCAACGAGTGCTGGTGTATTCGAGTTGAAATGATTCTGAAATCAGTAGAATTCAAATCAGAATTTGAGTTTTAGCTAAAAAAATTCTGAAGTAGCTTTTTTTTTTCCCTCCGCAGTAAATCAGAAAATTCAGCTCATTAATTCGACAATTTCATTTATCCTTTTTTAAAAGTTTAATTGAAAAGTAATCAAAATTTATAAAAATATACTAAAATTTACTAAATGTATTAAAGTTTTAATTAAAAGTACTTAGTTAATAAGCATGTGGTTTTGAATAAACAAATTATAGAATGAATATAACTTTGAAAAACGCAAATAAAGTTCAAACAAATTTAATTGTAGTGTTTTTCCCTAACATGTCGCAATAATACGCAGTCTTTGACGAAATGTCATGCCAAAAGACTATTATTTTGCAAATTGAATCTTTTCAGGTACGCCGGGAAGAGCCCATGTCCAGTAATTATTTGATTGTAATCAAAATCGCGTATCATTTTCATATTTCTAGAAATTATCCGAATTATTTTAGAAATTATCCAATTATCCGAATCAATTGGGACCGAACCCCATTCGGATAATCAAAAATTCCGATAATTGGATTTTTTCCGAAGAAAAGGTCTACGTACACTTTTGTTAATTGCTGTATGTACCGTATGTTGAAAATGGAAGAAAAAGCTATTTTTAAAGAAAAAGGGGTTTTAATTAATTAAAATGCAAAGGCAACACTTTTACGTGTGCATGTTAGATAGCGCACTCTACAGTACTTGCAAGTGCTGAAAGTCATTGCATGCTGAACATCTCAGTCAAAGTAAGCTGTTTGACGGACACCTGTGGCTGCACTTAAAATTTCTTAGCCAGCCGTTACATGCTTTACAGGATGACCAGCTAAGCTTCTGAGCTAAGATCTTAGCTTTTTCACAAAGAATCTGAAAAGAAATTGGGTTTTCCACAGAACGTTGCTACAAAAACCACTTGAAAACGACATCTTCTAAATTTTTGTTTGTTGCTGCCTTCATTGATTTTCTTGAAGAATTCCCATCTCCGCTTTCAAGCAGTGACACGAAGTTTAAAAGTGTAGGTTTGCTTCTTTTAATGTTTGAAATCGCTGATTGTACAACACTACGTTTTCGTCTTAATTTTGTTTTCTTAAATTATGACAGCAATTCGGATAATCAGTGATTCGGATAGCCGGGGTTCGGATAAAGTTCTACTGTAATCTTTTCTTTTTTCCGAAATGTTCCATTTCTCCTTCTAGCAGTCATAATAGAAATAACTGATTTTACCAATAACAATTCTTTTTGATGCCTGAATATCGAACGCATCCACGGCATTACCCATAGCAGTAGTTTTGGGCAGTATGTTGGCCCTCTCATTGCCTTTACCATATCAGCTTTCACTCAGTTCAATTTTCACTTCACGTATTTTCTCAACTTTCACAATGCGTTTTTTTTTTATATATATGAGACCAAAATATTAGTGTTATCATCATCTGCTAATGCTTCCAGACCAGATAATGAGTATATATAAGAATTTTCGGACACCCTACACTTATGAATCAGACACGAAGAGAACACTTTGCCAACTCCCCACTAGAAAGAATGTAAGTTACTTAATACCTTTTCTGGCCTTTATATCTTTATGTACATTCACTGTTCTTATTATACTTTTTATATTATTTTTACAAAATTTGCATTATTTATCGTATTTTGTAATCTTCTATGTTTATTTCAACTTTACTTTGAATTCGATTTCTAATGACAATTTCCAATGTTTAATTTTTACAAATATATAGAACTCAAATGCATAAACATGAGGGTGTCGGGGACGGTTACTCGAGTTTTTTCGGATTTCTCTACAGAAATTGCTTTTTTACTCCAAATTGAATTGGCTAAAATGCTTCATAAGAATAAGTTCTTTGAGTATCAGCATTGCTTCGTAATCCCTTCTATTCGCGGAAATATTTGGCCTTGGCTAGAATTGCCGGTTTTGGCTTTACCTTATAACTCGAGTAAAGACGAAACACCTTTCGTATTTACGTATTTATTTATAATTATTGTTCATTGAACGGGAGTTTGGTTTGTTCCCTTGAAAAGTCAACTATTCCGATCAATGACAATGATTACATGCATTTAATTTAATTTTTTCCTTTTACAATTGAAATTTTTTCTTCATGATGATTTAACTCCAGTCCCCCGTTAAAACATTATTAACATTTTACTTTCAATTACTTCAAAACATCTTTCAAAATATAACTTACCAGTATGGATTCACTCTTTTAAAATAATTCTACTTTAATTAAAACTTAGGAGATAATATAATCAATTAATCAATATTGTTTAGAAATAAATTATTATTAACTAACTTTGCAGCAATTGCGCAAGTAGTAGCACTTGTTTTCGCACTAAATAATTTAAGATCATACAACATTATATAGATATATATATATATTAATACTGTTTTATTGTCAGATTTCCCTTTAAGAGCAAATATGATAGCAGCCAAATCGGCTTGAAAAACCGAAATTGTAAGGATTAAGTATAATTTGGTTATGTACCAAACAAGTAAACCACATTCTCGCAGTTTGAAAAAAAAACAACGATACCTGGAGCTATTCAATTATGAATAACATAATCCTCCACCAGAACATGAGCACCTGGAAGCCTGAAGTTTAAATTTCGAATTTGATTTATTACCTATTTCATATTTTGTAAAAAGAATTTTTGATAAACAAACTCAATGATTTCAAAGCGAGCAGTGGCAATACTATATCGGGGAAAAAAAAAATTCTAAAGCTATGCTGTTTTTAAACATTTTGTGATTTTGCCGTTGAGTCGAATTTTATGTGACGTAAGCGCCGAGAGCCGAGAATGTGATATTTAATAAATAAAATAAGCACTCAACACGTTAATAATAAAAAAACAAAACAAAAAAAAATTGTAAAGCCATCTTAACAAGAAAACTAAACATTGATATGATGAACTGAGAAGGGACTGAACAAAAATATGTATAACAACACGGTGGAAATCCTTAATAAATCCTTTTGGGCAGTCTTTAAAATCTGCAACCTTTTAGAATTGTTTTCTAATTTAATATTTTTAGGCAATACATATTTAGAATTATATCTCACAAACCCGTTTATATCTGACGGAATTATGAAAAGTATTGTCATAGCGAATTACATAAATTTAATCCGATTGCTCACAAACAGCATACACAAATATAAAAAGATTATACTTATTTTCCTTTCAAGAATCACACGTTATTTTTTTTAACTAAACATTCGCGAATTTTATTACAACTACTTTATCGTTTTAATAAAAGAAAATGAGAAACAATAATATTCAAAATTAAAGAGTTCCTTCAGAAATTTGCATATGTGATAAAACATAGCTATTTTCCAACGGAAACAAGAAGTAAATTCGTTATAAGCCTCTTATCCATCCTATGCCAAAAAGTAATTTCTTTAATGCACGACGTAAACTCAGATCGAACTGGCATTTCGTTAAGAGGATGAGCACCCAAATCTTATATTGCTAACAGTCTAGAATTATTTCCGGTTTCTTCTTTTACTTTAGTATTCCAGTCTCCCCACCCCTCTCTGAAAACTACACGTTGTTTCTTTGAAAGCTTTCTCAAGCAAGGGAGGCTTACCGGTAATCTAAATATATGCTATTTAAAACTTCCGGCAATTGCCTGGCGGGATCTATAAACGGCCGAAATAGCCCAATTTCCTGGAAAGCAAAAGCATTTGCCCACAACTATAGTCTTTCAGGACTCGCATTGTATTAGAAAGAATAATGAATACTCACTTGACTTGCTTGGTTTCTATGGAAACGCTTGTTCGGAGTTTCGTCACCAAGATGCGGATGATGTTAACAAGGAAAACGGCATTCACCTGAAATAAAGGGAATGCTGAACTGTACTCAGGAGCTGGTTGACTTTGTATTTAATAACAAAGATTATCATAACAAAGATATTTACTTTATTATATATTTATTAATCATTTTGTTGCTGTAGAGGAACGATCTGGCTCCAAAACATTTTAAATTCTCAATCACAAAGCTGTAAGATCTGTTACAGCAAGTACACAAAAGAAAAGAATACTCAATTCAAATTACGTAGGTCGAGAGTATAACGCGCTAGCAGCGCCTCCTGTCGGCAACTCTTAATCACTACTGAACATACTCCCGACCTTGAAACCTTACGGGTTTCAAAATATTACAATTAGTATACACTGTTTTAAAGCACAATATAATAACAAACAATTGTAAGCAATAGCAATACAATGGTTAAATTTTAAAAGACACATTAAATCATAAATGCAATATAAACACTGGAAAGAAACACATTACAATACATAAATCTAATTACAATTCACAGGAAGAACACAAATGTCTCTCACATTTCTTTTTAACATTTTACCACCTGGTAATACTATGTTAATCACTCGAACTTTTTTATCTTTTCCAAAAATTATTTCTGCAATTCTACCTGTTAACCATTTTGTACTGGGCATATGCTCATCCTTGACTAACACAAGTGAACCCACCTTAACATTATCTTTAGCAAACATCCATTTATCCATTTACTACGTTGTTGAAGGTTATTTAAATAGTCTCTCTTCCATAACTTCCAAATTTGTTGACTATATTTCGTTTATTTTTGCCACTTTGAGAGCCTATTTTCTGGTATCTCAACAAGTTGGGGTTCAGCTATTGAAGTTAAAGGCCTCCCTATGAGAAAATGTCCGGGGGACAAGGTTTCAAAATTATCAAACTCGGATGATAAGGGAGTAAGAGGTCTAGAATTTAATACGCTTTCAATTTCTAGAATCACAGTGAGAAATTCTTCAAGAAACAGATGAGCATTGCCAATAATTCGTTTCAAATGAAACTTAAAAGATTTCACCCCGGCTTCCCAAAGGCCGCCGAAGTTTGGTGATTTAGGAGGAATAAACTTCCACTCAATGTTTTCACTTAGCAGGTATTTAGTCAGTGTTTCATCTGGGTGTTTTAACCAATTTATGCAATTTTCTGAGCTCAATGCTTGCACCCACATAATTCTTTGCATTGTCACTGAATAATTTTGCACATTTACCCCTGCGACTAAAAAAAATCGTTTCAAACAAGCTATAAAGGCATCTGAAGTAAGATCAGAGACAAAATCTAAATGGATGGCTTTGGTGCTTAAGCATACAAATATGCACACATAAACTTTGTTTAGTTTTACCCCTTACGCTGATTTTTAAATTTAATGTGGAATGGTCCACAAAAATCAGTTCCAACATTACTAAATGGGTAAGAAGGTGTTACTCGTTCTTTGGGCAGATCACCCATTATCTGAGTCTCAAAAACAGGTTTGTTTTTTAAAACAAGTTATACATTGAAAAACAACTTTACGACAAACATTTCTGCCATTTAAGACCCAAAATTTACGTCGAACATGATACAATAATGCATTTGAACCAACATGCAAAATACTTTAAATGATAATATCTCACAATTATTAAAGTTAATGGATGCTTATCTGGCAGAACAATTGGATTTTTCTCATATGTACTGAGGTCAGAATGTTTCAGTCTGCCTCCAACCCTTAGAACATTGTCTTTATCTAAAAAACAGTTTAAAGATTTTACCTTTGCTGTTGCTGGGCACTGAGGCACCTCTCTCAAGATGTTTTATTTCATCTACAAACTCACCTTGTTGGATTGACCTAAATAAATAGATTTCCGCTCTTCTCAACTCGCTAAATGTAAGGTGACCTGTAAGCTTTTCATTTCTAACATTATTGATAAATCTAAATACATAGCACATAACATGAACAATAGTTAAATAATTATTACTCAAGGAAAGAATATCATCAACTATAGAACTATGATTTAAAACAGTAAAGGCAATAGGAGAATGATCATTAGAGTCATCAGTTTTCTTTAGTTCATCAGAAAAGTCATCTAATGAAATTAGAATGTCATTATTGTCTACCGGAACATCAGTCTTTTCTCTCAAAAATTGGGGTCCATGCCACCAAATGTCACTGTTCAATAAAATGTCAGCACTGACTCCCCTGCTGAGGAGATCAGCTGGATTTTGCTTCCCAGGGCAGTGTGCCCAGGCACTGGTATCACTTAAACTCTGTATTTCGTTAACTCTATTGGCAACAAATGATTTCCATCGTTTCGTAGATCCTTTAATCCAATAGAGAGTTATTTTTGAATCCGTCCAAAAGAACACTAAGGAGGGCTTTTTTAAATCCACTGTTTTCTTGACTTTACTCGCTAGTCGGGCGGCAAGCAAAGCACCGAGTAATTCTAGTCTCGGAAGAGTGATTTTCCTTAGTGGTGTCACTCGACTCTTGCTAACCAATAAATTCACTTCGATGTTATTATCCTTCACAACTCTTGCATAAATAGCAGCACCATAAGCTTTTTGGCTAGCATCGCAGAAGCAGTGTAGTTCTAAGATATCGGTTGGCTCTTGTATATTTAAATTGAGCACGTTTCTAGGAACTCGTAACTCTGAAAGATCAGGAACCTCGGAGCACCACTGAAGCCATATTTTTTGTAGATCTACAGGTATTCTTCACCCAAGAAATTTTCTTCATCCGACAATGTGCACGGAAGCAAAGCGGATCAAAAATCCTTCCAATTGTACGTAGCAGGAATCGTTTGGTACTTTCGTTTTTAGACAGACTGTCCACTAGGCTCTGCTTTCCCAATATTAGACAATCTTCAGTAGGATTCCATGACAGTCCCAAAACTTTAATAGTGTTGACTTGTGGCTGTGTATCGAAACCTTCACGTGTCCAAAACTGCATCAATGTATTGTCATTCGTAGTCCATTTTCGTAGCACCATGCTAGCTTGGCTCATAATTGATGTAGCTTGAGTGGAGATCTCAAAAGCATCCGACACATTATCAGCTCCAGAAATAAAATCATCCACATACAAACAGCGGTCTAAGCATTCTGTTGTAGTCGGGAATTCTTCAGAGTGCTTTCTCAGGTGAGTTTTCAAAGTAGCAGTCAAAAGGAATGGACTGCTCGTAACACCAAAAAGAACACGATTAAATCTGTAAACTTGAATTTTACCATTTTCTTCCCACCCATAGAAAACGAACTGCATCTCTGTCCTTTTCGGCTAATAAAATTTGTAGGAAAGCTTTCTCTATGTCTGAAGTAAAGGCGACTTTGTTTAATCTGAAATTAAACAAGAATGTCGAATATGTTCGAATTCAGGTTTGGCCCTGACCACAGGCAATCATTTAGACTTAAATGCTTAAAGTTATGACTGGAACTTGCATCAAATACTATTCTCATTTTTGTAGTTGCACTTTCCTCTCTAAAAACTGGTTGATGTGGCAAATAGAACACAGGTTTATCAACAGGTTCCTTAGGACATCTAACTTTCTCTATAATATTCTTATTTTCATAGTCTTTTAAAGTTTCAATATACTGCAAATGAAGATTTGGATCTTTTTGAAGTTGAAGTCTACGCATAAGTAAATTAAGTCTCTTTTTTGCAACGATGAAGTTATTATTGAGCTCTCCCCAATCTCTTTTCCATGGTAATTGAACCTCATACCGGTTATCTTTAAAACGAACAGTTTTTTTTCAAATGTTTCTAAAGATTGATCTATCTCATTTTCATTTTCACTGGATCTATCTCATTTCTCATTTTCACTGATCTATCTCATTTTCATCATCTTTAATTCCTATAGACTCAAGTTGCCAAAATTTTTTAATTTCATTTTCTATATCACTATAATTATTAATTAATCCACAGTGAACTGCTTCGCGTATTTTCAGTCTCTGAACCTAAAATGCTGCCAGTGGCTATAAAGCCAAAAACAGAATTTTGAAATCTTAGCTCTGAATTGGGCACTTCAACTTGACCGAATTTTAAGATCTGATAAAACACCTCTGCGCCTAATAATGCATCAATTTTTCCTCTTTTATAAAAGTTTGGATCAGCAAACTTAATGTTTTGTTTTGAGGAAAATGTTCAGTCGGAACTTCTATATTATTTATTGGTATGGAGTCCGAGATTTTAGGCACGCACAAAAATTCTAAACTCATTCCAATTCATTTGAAAAAGTCAAACTCAATACCGTTTGAAATAGAAGCACATACTTTAGAATTAAATTTATATTTATTCTCGTGTTATTTAATCCAGAAACCGCAACAGATATTTTTCTCTTTTAATCCCTAACGAATTAGCACATTCAATCGTTAAGAATGACGTCATCGAACCTACATCACACAAAGCGCGAACTGATTTTAATTCACCATAATAATCTCTTATTAAAATATTCGCAGTAGAAAGTAAAATATTTTTGGTCTGACGCATTCCGTTTACAGCTGTGCCGGACGAAAATACTTTCTTTACGTGTTTGCTCACTGTAGTATATGCCCCATGGGCCCATGATGTGCGCTGGACAAAGTAAGGAGGTCGGAAGAAGAGTCATAAAACAAATTTTTCAGCATTCGGATTGAGACTGACTGTCGTCTTCTCCCCTTCCCTACTTCCGGCTTTGAAATATGAGCACTTTCGGATTTATTTTGTTTTTCATTTTCGAAATTGTAACAGTGTTGAATGCGTTCGTGAGCATTTTTGACATCGATAATTAGACGAACACTTTTCGAACAAAATGGTTTTTCAAACAATTAAAGCAAAAGCTTATTTCTTTTCACGAATTCACACCTGTTCATTGACAGAAAGATTTATAAATTACTGGGACACTTACTATATAATGAATGGAATTCTTCACCACGGCACTTTATACACTTTAAATTTATGTTCTTCGTGTTAGAAGAGGATATCATACTCGTAACTTTTTTTATGTTGAGAATTATTAGTCCTTTTTACCTCCTTTATTTTACTACATTGAAGCGTTCTCGC